CAAATGTGTTGAATAGATCCTACAAGACCTCCCTCCTCCCCAACCAAATCCCCCACCCATAAGCCGAAGGAGGGGGGTGTACTTCCTGTCATCTGTCATCTTTATGCCCCTTGAAGATTGATAATAAATTTTTATGCAAACAAGGGGCCCTTTCTCCAGCCACCTAAATCCATGACACCTTCAGGTCGACCAGGCTGTAGTGGATCATCAATTCCACAAATCTTTAGTGGTGAATAGGCTCCAGTCTGTGGACATGTTGCTGCGGTGTTTTTATGTGCAAAAACCACATGATGTGTTATCAACTGATATTGCTAACATGGCTAACAATTAACCAGGCTAGAACTGGGGCCCGTTTCATTAAGCAGGATTTCTTGCTTAGCAGGATAACTTTTCGGATTTAGGGTGGTCAGGGCTCAACCTAAGTGAACGAAGATAAAGGCCATTTAACTGGGGTGAATTAAATCTGAAAAGTTATCCAGATAAGCAAAAAATCTTGCTTTTTGAAACGGGTTCCTGGTATTGTTAAATGGCTTTCCGACTTGTGGTACTGGAACCCTTTTAACTTGTGTGACGTCATTCCCAGTTCTGAGTTCTGACCTCCGAGGTAAATGGCACACAGCATTGGAATGCACTGCTGAGGAAACAGGTAATCAGGTGTGAAAGCTGATCAACTGTTATCAAAATATACGCAGTGAGGACCAACCTGACCTGTGTCTAGGGTCAAACCCTCCCTCTGGGGGGGGCGCCAAGCAAGCACCTCTTGGCTTTGATAGGCCCATCTGGCTCGTAAAACAGATGAGAAACACGTTTCTGCTCCTTGGAACTGAGTTAGATGGGACCTCATATGCAGCACTGCTATGCCAACAGGGTCCCAAATCATCCGTGATTTACTGCACATTATGCATACAAATAGGCACAAAGTTCATCATATTCTCCTACGGTTATAAATGCATGTTATCACCTCACCTGCTGTTGTGTCTGCTTCCTTAACTGTGTTTTAGGCTTCATTAGTCCTAGGAATGCCTAAATAACTCCACAATTCCCAAAAGTGTGATGGTTTTGTCCTTATTTTCCCACATGTGCGGCTCACTCTTGGCTAGCATGATAAGTGGGTCTCAGTCGCAGTTTGCTGAGGTTCTGGGGTTAGCTAGCTAGCTTGTTGCTAGAAAATGTTCTCTTACTAGGATGGGGAGTTTGACAAGATGAATGGGGGCTTTTGGCAGTGGCTTTTCGTTTAGTGCCATTGCTGTGCTGCGATTAAGGGCTGAGTGAGAACGAGACCTGATCTCTGCCTGTGATGTCACAGTGTCACCCATTGTGGTATACCTGATCTCTGCCTGTGATGTCACAGTGTCACCCATTGTGGTATACCTGATCTCTGCCTGTGTGAAATTCATGAGTGCCAAGTCTTGATCCATACAAACAGACTGAAGAATAATCTCATTGCTGACTTCTCAACATGCAGGGGTGCCATTAAAATAATCAGACTAATAAATGAGCAGTATCATTTAAAAACATCAAGAGTTACCAAAGAAGGTTTTAAATCTGAGTAATAGAAGGAGGCAAGTGAAATGGTGATTAAAGTCACTGGCTGGTATAATTCTTGCAAAAATAGACCCCTTCAGGTAATGGGGAAATTGCTGACACGTCCAGTTCAGACACTAAGATCCACTGCCACACTCACTGGCACAGTTTATGAGAGCAGTTTGTTACAGCTTGATGCCGGATACTAGAACCACCACCAGCTATCAGTGAGTGACGGGAGGCAGCACCAGGGCAGCTGAAGCTCAGAACCCGACAGTCAGTGATGGAGGTCTGTGAGAGTTAATGGGGTGTTAAACCTGCAGGCGAATGACACCCCATCAAGCACATCTGCAAACCCTCTCACTCTCAGTGACTATCAGGTTACAAGTCATGCTGTGGGGGTGGCTTCAAAAGAGCACCAGTTACAAGAGAGAACATTCTGGCAATCCAAAAGTGGACAAAAATGAATCTCTGGACCAGTCCCATGGTGCTGCTTACGAAACCTAGAAGGTCTCTTGCACCTTCACAAGTGAGGAGCTCGAAAGCAGCATCGTCACAATGGGGGAGACCTCATGGATATTACGACGACCAGTGTGATGTCATTTGATATCATGTGCTATCCAGAGTATATCTGCTTAGTGGGCGGCAATATTCCGCATTTCCATGTACCGTTGATACAATATGGATGAAATATGTTACACATAACACTACACCTGGAATGGACTGACATTACATCCTGGGTATTTCCCTGCCTCGTGCCGTGCATCTATTGGACTAGACGTCAGGTGAACAACATCCATACTTTAGATCTGAGGTTATAGAAAAATTATTGGGTAACTTGGATGGATAGAAAGATGGATGAAATGACCATAGTACACACATCCTGGGTCTGAAACTGGTAACCTTGACCAACCTGCTAACTTTTCAAACTCTGAGGTCCAGTTAGGAAGATCAACCACTGGGACAGATCGCAGTCACCCTGCAGGCTGAACTCCGGCAACAGGGCTGAGAAATATGTCAACATGGTCCAGGAAACAGCCCAGAAGGCTGGTGTCTGAGGTTCTTCCTGCAGGTGATACTGTCCTCAACATCTTTGCTTAGAAAAATATTTAATTGACATGGACACAGCTTGTCCCTTGTTATCTGATGTGAACCACATCAGTTGCCAACAAGAAAGTGAAATGAAGACATTCTACTTACATATAATGTTCCCAAACATATCAACAATATTTTTTTTCTGTCACTACCGGGCTTCTGGAAGTGGTGCGCTCGGTTATAAAACATGGCTCCAGAGGGCATCAATGGAGCCCATAACAATGGGCTGAGCCAATCAGAGCGCAGCCAACCATGGCTGCCTACCACTAATACAGCTGCCACGCCATTCATAGAATATTGCTTATCCTGGGGTCTGGAAGCCGAAAGAAGGCTTGAAAAACAGTAGGGGGGCGTGGGCAAGCTCGGGGTGGGGGGGGGAGGGGGGTGATCCCATATTACCAACTGTGCCACCGTTGAAAGAGCGCAGTTTTATGACGGTAGGTTTCCCACGGCTTCCAAGTGAATCATTTACCACCCAGAGCATCTGGTTGATTGCCACAGTCAGGCCACCCTAACCTGCCGCTTTGGACATCAAGAGCCTGGACTTCAAAAACCTCACGAGGCACCATGGCATCAGCTCGAAACACTGACGTAAAGCAGCTTGGATCATGCATGCAAGGCAGCTCGGAACATGCATGTGAAGCAGCTCGGAACATGCGTGTGAAGCACTGATCCTGATATTCAGAAGCTCCCCCCAACAGCATGTGACCCCCTCCCCACACCTCCGGCACAACCCTGGGCTGCCGGTTGTTAAAATGGACTCATGGTGATGATTGTTCTCTGCCTTTATGCCTCCCCATAAAAGGCGTTATTCCCTTTGTCTCCTGTGAGGCTGCCTTCTCACGTGAACCGGAGGAACGTTGATGGCCGATTAGACTCAGTGAAATCAGGGGAAACGACCCAACCAGCCAAAAGAAGCAGATCAAGCAGCAGAGACACCGCAGAGACACCGCAGAGACACCGCAGAGACACCGGTGACACTGGGAACACGTGAATGGGTCATCCTATTTCAGCCAGGATGCACCGTGCTCTCCTGCGATAGTTTTGGCCGGAGTCTCACGCTGCTTCCCTGTGCCCGTTAGCTGGGTCCCTCGAGGCGTCATAGCTGCTGCTCCTGACCTCAGCCGGCCACAGGCGAATCAGCACACTCACGCTTGCTCAAGTGTGTGGACGTTCTCTCATGCCCTGTAAATATGTGTGCACTAGAAACGTGTGCTTGCGCCCAGTTCAGCCCATGAACTTTTGCTCACCCTGTTTCTATCCCACTTGTGACCCAAATTGTCCTTTCGATTCCCACTGCTGGCAGCTAGAGGACAGGCTGCATTTTATTAGAAGATGCTCACTTTCTATCAGTGCTGTGCTGAGATGCCATGACCTTGCGGAAAATCAACGCATCACTCACAGGATATGAAAATTGCATGCAACCACCAGACTGGTCTATAGGAACATCACTGAGACAATTGGCTTAGGTCACCTGACCAAGTATAAATGTATTAAACTAGCTGACATATACAGGTTTTCTTATCATTTAACCCCTCGTTACTTTCAGTTACTTTCAGGCACAAAAACGAAAGTCTGCGCTGTGTACTTGCTCTAACAGTACATGTGATTGCAGGGGTTCCACAGGCGGCCATTGTTACTGAGTTCCGGCACCCTTGAACTTGTAAGAGCACTGGGATCTGTCAGCCGGCCAGGCGCCTGGGGCAGAGGTGCTGTCAGTGACACAGGGGACATGGCGTCTGAGGAATTTCCTGTCGTGTGCAGCTATCGCAAAGAACAGCATCCCTGGTTACGGCGTGCGCCCTAACTAGCCAAGCTTCAGCATTCGCTTTGGATAACATTCCAGGCTTCCGGCATCCTCGACAGGAAGTCGGGATATTTACAAGCGGGAGAAGAAACCAACAAAGCAGGAGGAAGCTGAAGGACAGACAGGGATCATACAAAATGCCAAGCAACTTAGATAACAAACTCAGATTATCGAGTTGCAGGGTGCAAGGTAAACCTGCCTGGACTTCAGCAATATCAGTCTCATTTAGCTACATCACAATGGATGTGAGGTACTCTAAACAAATAGATAAGAGCTCTAGTCAACAGCCAATCAACACCAGCTTATCATCATTTTAAATGATATGATGAAAGACAATGGTGCCAAGTACCTTGTCAATCACATTTACTGACCAACGTGTAATTTATGCGCCATTTTGAATTCATGCTCTGCTTCTCCAGACACCTACAGAACCATGAGAAGACCAGGGGTTCACACAGCCTGGGAGGTGACACCCCGACAGTGGGAGGGCTATGGAGAACTGGTGAAGTATAGGGGGGTTCCTAGAGAGGACCCTCCATTAACAGATACGGGACAAGCAAGGCCGACAACTTACCATACTGACAGCTGGGCCCTTTGAAGCCTGGAGGACAGTCACAGCGGTGGACTGAGTCCTCACGGCACTGCCCACCATTGAAGCACACACCATCGCTGCAGATAGCTGGGGGGGGGGGGAGCAGGAAGGAGATAAAAGGGGTCAAAGTCTGAACCATCACCTATGACAATATAAAACATAATTCAGACACCTGCTTGACAAATCAGCTCTTTTCAACTGTTAGAGCTTCTTTCAGAGAATTTAAAATTGTACAAATTAAATAAATCATCCAATAAATATCAAAATATTCATTTTCAGAGCATAAAGATAATAAGTGCATGACTATCTTGTTAAAAACGGCATATATCAAGGTATATATTAGATGGTAACTTAACATTCGGTACTCATAGTCTACATGTCGAATGCAGCAGAAATGGCCAGGGATACAGATCTGCGTGACTTTGATAAGCGCCAAGTTGTTTTGGTCAGATGATCGGGTCAGAGCATCTCCGAAACATTAAGGCTTGTGGGGAGCTCATGGTCAGCCATGGTGAGCACCTACTGAGCGTGGTCTGAGGAGGGGAAAACCACGATTCATCAACAGGGGTGACCAAGACTTGTCAATGTGGGATGTGAACGAGAGCACAGATGGTAGGTAGTTTTGATGATGGTCGTGGGAGTAAGCAGCCCTGCTGGTTATGGGGCTGCTTAGTTGCAGGCCGGTCAGAGGGCCCATGCTGACCCCTGTCCGCCACCAAAAGCACCTACAATGGACATGGAAGCTTTGGAACTGAACCTTGGTATAATAGAAGAAGGTCACCTGGGCCAATGAATCCCGTTGCATCATGTGGATGGCCAAATATGTGTCAATTCAATTCAATTTAATTCAATTTTATTTATATAACACATTTTCACAATATTACATTGTCTCAAAGCACTTCATATTATGCCTGCCCAATGCCCCTCGAGAGCAGTATTTGTGAGATGCATTGGACCAACAAGTCTAATTCATGGTTACGTTACACCATACACAACAGGGCTCAATGCACTGTGGGTCATGATGCATTACTCCCACAGCTATCATCCAAATTATCTGAGATTTGTTCCATTGGTTTGTGCTGGATGGGATAGCTTTCGTTCACATCATGCATTGGCGAGTCTTGGTCACCAAACACCCACTCTCAGTGGGGAGAGGGGACCACACTGCTAGACAGACAGGACAGGATGGCGAGAGGGGACCACAATTCCAGAAGAACAGGACAGGATGGGGAGAGGGAACCACACTTCCAGAAGAACAGGACAGGATGGCGAGAGGGGACCACACTTCCAGAAGGGCAGGTGCCCACCCCAGTGCCATGTGGTGCCCTGACTGTGTGAAATTCAAAGAGTCCTCCTCAGGGGGGCACCATTGTTCAGCGCTGCTGCAGAATCCGAGCAGACCCAGGCACAAGGAAAGCCGCCACGCGTTCCACGTTACCCACCTGGGTACGCCTGAAGGCTGGGAGGTGCTTTCTCCCTTACATCTCTCCCAGTGTTTGGGCTTTGGTGGAACATAAATGTCCACATGATTTAAATCTCCAAAGGAATCTCCCTCCCTCCCCCTCCCAGTCCTTCCTGGAGGTTGGGCACATATCTCCACAGAACCAGCAGAGAAATCCCCAATTCCGTCACCTTGACCCATTCTCGGAAAGCCCAAACAAACAAGAAAGCCAGGATCAGAAATGTACATTCCGGAAAGCCCCAGTCAGAAAGCTGATCCCTCATTCTGTATGCATCAGGCGTGTTGGACTCAGGTGTGATGCAAACTCACTTCTATAATCCTCGAGGCAGGACAGGGCTGGAAACAGACACACATGCTTTCCTCTACAGCTCACCCCCGACCACACCTTAGTCCCAGAGCTACAGACCTCCCCAGTTCCAAAACATAAAGCATTTCAAAAAATGTAAAAATCTACTTCAAAACAATGGGCAGGGAAGACCATGAGCTCGCGTTAAACAGACAGGACATTTGACGGCAATTCACCCGTGTCTCCCCCTCCCTCCCACGTACATATTAATGTGTAAATCAATAGGCAGTTTTGTGAGATTCATAATATCGGTGAGCAATGGGGGAACTGAAGCTTCAATTCTCCATATTGAAACAGCATATACTGCAAAAAACCATTACTGAATTACTGAAGCCTGTAGGCTTCAATCCCAGGAGCAACCAAGCTGCAATTCAAGTCATCAGCAATTTATTCAACTGTGTTTGTTTTTACTACTAAAAAAAACTTTGGATAAAAATGTTGATAATTCCCGAGGCATCCTGATTCGTTTCCGCTTATGAGCAGCTGACGATGAGTGAGGCGAGTGCCGATGACAAGATACTCGAGTAAACAGAGCATCGTCATCGTCATCCACATTGCTCGAGGTTCCCTGCCACTCGCTTCACCAGTTAGGAATCCGTGCCGCTGTTATCACATTCAGGCGCTAACGGAAAAACCCGGGAAATTCAATGGGATCGGGCATCCAGCTGGTCCTCATTTGACCCCGTTGCCGAAGTACAGAATCCCAGCATGGGGAAACCATCATTGCAAATACATTTTTTGGCAACCATTTATCTTCAGCCTTTGGTATGGACCCATTGTCCCCACAGATAAACAAACATGGATCACCTGTGAAAGCAAATCCTTTCCTTCAACCAATCTGAGGGCCCCTCAAAGGTTAGACAGGAATTTTAAACCCTAAAACTTGGCCCAAATACTGGGATTCCCATTCCAGCACTGAGGCACCACCTTCTACCATCAGCACCCTCCCGTGAGCTACTTCACTGCAACAGGAAGTGACCTCACACTCATACCGTCATACTCAATACAAAGAGCAATTAACAGTATACAAATAAACCATCCATCCATCTTCCAAGACAGGATCACGTCTGTATTGGCAAACACGTCTGTTTCATGTCAGATGAGAGGCGGGCAGAGAGCGAGGCCCCCCCCCCCCCCCCCCCCCCCAAACCCAGTCTTTAACTCCGCTTAGTGCCATCAGTGTAATTAGTACTTTAGGTTGAGGCATTTGGGAATGCTGAGTCGCGTGTTTTTTGGCTCTGCGGAAGAACGCACAAAATCAAAGGGCTCATGGAAATCTCAGGAGGGACCACAGGAAGCGAAGTCTGACTTTTTTTTTTTTTTTTTTTAAAGAAGTGTTTCTAAAGAGTCACGACGAAATGATTTGAGGGCTACTTCTTACGCAAGTGCCCGTAATTACACATCAGAGCTTACAGTACAAAGCCAGCCTTCTACTTAGCAACAAAAGTTTAAGATGAAATGCCAGTGTACCACGTTTGAAGATCTGAAGGTGCACATGCTCCTCCGAGCGTGCAAAAGTTGCACTCCTCGCTGGGACGATCCCTTGGGAACAAGTGGGAGAACACAGGGGGGTCGGGGGTAAGGGGGGGCGGTGACATCACCACACCGCAGTGACGAGTTTGCGTAGCCGACGAGCAGGAGAAGGGTGAGAAATTGGCACCGAGGCCTGAAGAGTGACAGGATGTTAGGAGGCTAGCGGGGGGGGCACGGCCAAGGCGTGGGCTTGGCACATGAGGCGTCAGCAAACCGTATCACAGACAAACGCCAGACTCACACACGCACACAAACTCCAGCTGGAAATGCACAGCTAGGCGCCTTTCTCGCCTTGTTGACCCAGCTTCTCATTTTCAGGAAGAGCTGCAGCCTATGAACAGCCTGTTCCCTATCTACTGCCCCCCCCCCCCAAATAATTACAAATTTGCTGCGCTCCTGGAGCGGGTCGCTTGCTGGACAAGCGAACTGGAACGGAAAGGAAAAGGATGACTAATGAACCCTGGATGACAGGGTCTCAGAGAGCAAACGGGTTTGCGGAACAGGACTGGGTCACTGTTTATATCAATGTGGGACCGTGTGGCACTTTTGTCCGAAGCAGATTACAAATTTGTCCACGTTAATGGCCGTGGTGGATGAATTGGTGGGGCTTTCACCTTCACCCTCACCGCGTTCTGTAGCATTGCCCCCCCTCCTGACAAACAGACATGAGGAGCACTTCAGACGGCTGGACCACCCACAGGCAAACTTGGGTCACCCTTTGCTTGGGGGGGGGGGGGGGGGGGGGATGGAACGGAGCCTGAGGTCTCAACTGAAAACCCAGTGAGGGCAACGGGCACCACATGGCCAGCATGACCCGTCCTGCAGCAGAACCTCCAGCGGTCTGCTGGTATCGGTCCACAGCGACCAGGGAGTGAAGACTGGAGAAGGAGGGAGGAGGTGGGGGGGCGAAAGGGGGTTCTAGGGGGACAAGGAATTCTTTGACTGCCGGTCTGCAAGGGATAAGATCCATCCAGGAGTGCTGTAACTGCCGCTGATAAAATTCTAATACTGTAGCGTTTAAAAGCACTTTGTATGTTATAAAGGTGAGGAACCTTCTTGAATGTCTCTGTAGCCCCCCCTCAGCATTCACAGAGCGTTTCATGATTTCATTTATCAAGCCCGATTCCAAATGTCTGCAAGTCTCGTCATGGTGCCAAAGACCTGTGGTCAAAATTCCCATAAAAAAACGTGCTAAGGTCAGAGTTTGCTAAAATAATCATTTTATAGATCTTAAGCTCGTATTTGTCTGTGGTGGAAGCAAATGGCTGGTATTGCTGGTGCCTTAATCATAGAGGAGGTGGAACGGGGAAGAAGGGGGAGTCGTTTGGGTCACTGTGCAGTGCCAAATGGTGCGGCGGCGTATTTTCCAGGCCGCGAGCTGTTTCCAGCAGTCGTCCGGGTCTTTGATCACGTGTGTGATAATAACCACCAGAGATTTACAGCTGCCGGATCTCGTCTTTGTGAAACGGCATTAACGGTTTGCTAGGGTGTGTTGGG